ACAACGGAAGGGAACCGCTTTTCCCCCCAGCAGCTCGGCGCCCCCCCCACCCAGCCCAGGCCGCCCTTCACTGGGCCCTACCTGCCGCCTGGCGCTGCTCCGCCGCCACCGCCGCCCCCAGCGCCCCAACTCCGCCGCCTCCCGCGCCCCGCGCCGCCGCGCAGCCCCCACGGGGAACCCCAGCCAGCCGGGGGAGCGGCTCCGGCCGGCAGGCACCCCCCGCCGCGGCGGAGAGAGACGGCAGCAGCCGGCGCCCCGCTGACACCACCCGCCACATGCCCGCCGCCCGGCTCCGGCACGAAGGCCCGCCCCTCCCCGGCATGCTGCTCAGCCATTGGCCAGTGGCGGGGACGCCTCTCTCGTCTTATTGGAGCATCCTGCTGTCGGTCGGGACGGACCGTTAGGCGCGTGCGCGGGGGCACTCTCGCGGCTGAGGGCTGAGGCGGCGGGGCTGGTCCCGGTCCCACATCTCCGCCGGTGGCCGGGACCCCGGTGTGCCGCAGTGGTGGCGGAACTCTGCCCTGGGGAATCCCGTGGAGAGCCTGTTGTGGGAAGGGTTTAGGTGTGTAAATGGGAGCGCCGAGGCGAGGCCTCACCTTCCCCGTGTGGCGCCTCCCGTCAGTGTTTTCTGAGGGGTGGCTGAGCCGCGGGGCGGTAAAAGGGGGTAAGGGACAGGGCCTGGACAGTAGAAATCAGCGCTCCGCTGTCATGGTTCGTTGGGGAGCCCGAAAGGAGCAGGTACAACACCTGGGTGCTGCCGTATAAACCCTAATCACATATCCCAGTTCAAACCTGGTGCCCCCTTTTAAATGCCACGGTTTTGCCTAAGAAGCTGCAGCTGTTTTGAAATCAATGTGTTTTTCTTGGGAAAGTGTATTTTACATTTGTGAAATTCCTGCATAGATTTGATGGGTGCAGGGTAGTAGTTTTGTTATGTTTGCCTTGCCATGGATAACGTTGAGGGTTAAAAAGCTGTGACCTAGGCAAGTTCAAACATCTGTGAGCAAAACACATTCCCCTCCCCTCCCTTCACCTGGAGATGTTGGCACCTACCCTGACAGTAAAATAAAAAAATCACAGTTCAGACTGATTTTCCCTCCCTCACTGAATATGATAGTAAAATAATGGTATTCAGACTTAAAAGGCATAATCTTATGAATTAGAAAGACCCATAGTGATAAAAGCTTTAGCTTTAAAGGAAATGCCACTATGCTGTGCAATGCTGGATGTGGTCGGTTATAGGCCACAGTGTCTGGATGTCTCTTGCAAAGTTTAATTTGATTCCTCTACAATTCCTTCAGGGGCTGGTGTGTTTTAGCTGTAGCTTCAGTTTAGAACTATTTCTGGTAAGAAATAAATGTTACATCTGATGACTCTTAATTATGTGCTGTAATAAGTGTTCAAGAAGAAAAGGAAGGGAGGAACAAAACAGGCAGTTTTGAAATAATACAATTTTTTTAAAGTAACTTTTTAAAGTAACTTGTTACCCAGCTAACATTTCCACTTTTCTTGATGACATATTTGAAAAGATGTTGTTTCTAAAGATGATGTACATTTATGTTGTCATTCTTTGATGTTATTTCTCCAAAGGGGATGCCTGAAACCTGTCTTGTGACACTTGCTGACATTGACAAATCTGTTGCTTGTCGGCTGTTCTTGCCTTTGAACGACATGAAGTTCCTTTGTATTCTGATCTGATAACCAACACTAGTACCAGATGTGCTTCGGTGAACTAAGACTAAGGCGAATCCAGTTGTGTTTTCTGGAGGTAGGTACTGTTTTGGTCAGTAATTAGGCAACTCATCCAGTTGCTTATCTGACAGTATCTCTCTCTCTGTGACAAAGGAAACGTACTCTTTAAAATCATTAGATGGTTTATTTGTCAGTGCAGCAGTTAGATTCCATTGTATAAAAGTAAAGATGTATGAAATGGAAGTTACAGCTGAAAAGGCAAAATTAGATTATAAAAATGTAATATTCTGACATGGTATTTAAAGGAAGAGAGCGCAAGCTATTCTGCATACTTTGGTTAAAGGATAAAAAAAGTTCTTAAAATATGCCCAGAAGTTGGTTTCTATGCAAAACGCTAAGATGTCTCTGAGCTCCTACCATGCAGTGTTTTTGCTGAAACAAGATGCTTTCTGCATATAACCTAGGTTAGTGGTAGCCAGCATCATCACTGTTCCTGGGCATTATAGCTGTCACAGACCTTGTTTTTTCATGGTGCATTACAGGACATCTTAAGCTCTTGACTAAACCCCCATCCTGCCTCAAGCCAGAGCAAGAAATACAAATTACAGTTCTTCCTATCAGTTCTCTGACTGATAACAGAGGACATAACATTCAGATGGTAATTTTTGCAGGAAATGTGTTTTCTGTTTAAGTCAGAGGATAGTTTTAGATGCCCAGTTAGGGTTAGAGAATGGGGTGTTAAATATAAGGAAGATGGAACAATGGCAAATACGGTACTTTTAATAATATAACTGAAATGACCACAAAAGAATTAAAACAATTGGACAACTTGGAAACAAAAGAAGAAAAGAGGCTGTTAAACCATATAACTAAAGAACTCATCTCACAGGTATGTAGAAATCTGCATTTTTTATATCCTTAAGTCATTTAAAGTTGCCCATGCACACTGGGGAAGCGTCAGTGAGGACTACATTCAGATTGTGAATGATAAGCATTTGACAGATCTGTTGATACCAGGAAAATATGTTTATGCTTACATAGCGCATCAGGAACCACAAACAAAATGTATCAGAGATGTTCCAAGACACAGTAAATAAGCTAAGTATATTAAAATGCAGATCTTCAAAGAATTCAGTGCTTGGAAATGGATGGTGTAAAGTCATTTGCCCAGCCCCCAACTGAAAGTTAATTTCACTTTGATTATAAACTTCCATATTTACAGAAAGGCTCTTATGGAAAATGAACCATTTGAAGCATTTTTTGATCAGTTTTCTTGGCAGAAGTTTGCACTTTCTAAGCTGCATCATGCAAAAGCAGAAACTGGAGCATAGTGCTTTACTTAGATTGGGGGTTTCATTTTTTTGATTAAGTGGTCAAAGACAAAGGGATGGAGGAGCAAGTAGAAATTGATGTATCTTTACTGCAGGAGAGAGAGGAATGAAAAGAGAAGGGGAAAAGGGAATTGAACACTACCCCTTCCTGCCACGACCCTTGTTCTGCTGACCCTTGTCTGTGGAGCACTTCTCTGCCCTCTGGGGAGCGGTGGTGCCAGTCCAGTGTTTCAGGACCAGTAGAAACAAAGGAGACAGAGAGAGCATCAGCAATTTCATCTAAGGATTTTACATAGGTCCTGGAGTAAAAGTTTCAACAGGGATAGCCAAGCAGATGGGCCTCATCAATCTTTTTACTGGGGTGTCTGTGGTCTAGTTTACAGTGAGGCTCGTGTACTGGTAGCCATGTCCAGTAGGAAACTAAATGTGTCCAGCCCTGTTTTCTCACCCGGAGGCCAACTGGCATGTAATGAGCTGCATCTGTGCTATTGAACCCTGCAAAACAGGGCAGCTGCTGCCAAACTCCCAGCGGGGAAGAATGCCTCTGGTGCTTCCCAGAACCTGGGGTTTGCTTGGTGGGTGACAGCGTCAGCAGCTCAGCGCCAATGCCTGGGAATCGGCCACGGCACGTTTCATTCCACAGACGTAACATGTGCCGGCCCCCCGTGTCTTTCTTTCTAGCAAAGGCATGAATCCTGCTAAGGCAGTAAGCAGCTATACCAGACTGTCTATTTAAGACTAAGTATTTGCAAGTTTTTTGTGTTTTGGTTCGGTTTTTTTAATTAACCTTTTTTTTTTTCCCCTCCAGATTGTGGATCTGATTAGTTTTGCAGGTAGTTAACCTAAAAGCAAGAAAACCCAGATAAGGGAGAGAGGGGTGTGTTTGTTATTCAGAAGAATGTATCCTAGATCACTAGCAAGAACAGCAAGTGCTCAAAACTACCTGATTTTTTTTTCTACGAAGGACTATATTAATATTTCTAATTGCACCAAGCCCCCAAAAGTTACCATCCCGTCTATATGTGCTTTCACCTTACCCCCTGGGATTTTTTATAACAACAAGACAACCCCATCAAAGTACAGTTCAGATATGAGTCCTGTACGTAATCTAATAGTCAGGGATAGACTATAGGCTTAAACAATGCCTGGTTTGCTTTTCAGCAGAGGATTTCTCTCAGTGCTACTAGGGAAGAAAATTGCTTTGAAGTTGCTGAAGTAAGCAGTTAGTCCCTCCTGGTTCTCTGCTTGTCCGGCGCTTCTCTCGATAGGCTTGTATTGCTTGTATCTCCTGCAAGGAATGTGCACAGTTAGCTGCTGAAAGACATTTCAATGAAGGTCCACGTTCTGCACATGACCAGAAAATTCATCATGTGTTCATAACGTATATTCTCTCTCCCCCTTCCCTCTTCAACTCCATCTAATGGCTAACAGCCATAGGTCATTAGCGTGACTGGTTAATGAGAAGGCTTCATTGCTTAACGGAGCACTGTGGAGGTGTTTGTTTCTCACCTCTGACTGTGCAGGGTGAGCATACTCTGGACTCAGGAGTCTTGGTGCAGTCTTAAAGTTTCATGAGAAACATCCAAGCTAATAATGCAGTAACACGTGCTTCAGTTAACTACTTTCCTGCATGCACCTTTTCCCCAAGGAATTTATTTGCCAATTATTTAATGAAGAATGTTGATTAATTCTTGATCTGTCAGTCACTTGCAAACCCTTCTTGTAAGAGTTTTAAAGCTAAATTAAGTTTCTGTTTGTTAGGGTTTGCTGCATATATAAATCACATCATGCAGCTTGAGTTTGCTTACTGCATACATGCAGTGCCTAGGCCTTCTAGTATTACTCTTTGTGCTTATAAGCACAGAATGTAATTTTCTATGAAAGTCTTTAATATTTACATATTTTCCAATCGTTTTGTGGCTTAAGCCAGTAATCCCATTTTCTTGAATATTTGCCAGAATATTTGTGAACGACAATGAAAAAGCAACAAAAATATAGCTAATGAAAATTTAAGTTGTTGGTTTTGTTAAGTTAAACTAATATTTCTGACAGTTCCTTGAACTGTTTTTAATCCTAGAAAGTAGCAACTTACTTGTAAAGGATGAAAGCCCCAATGGCGGCAAACACTGCCAACAAACCAAGGAAGATAAAGACACCTTCTGTTGTTCCTGATGATGATCCTAGAGTTCAGAAAGTAGTTTGATTAAAAGCTAGCCTCATTTTTACAGCGAGATAGGTTTTCTACAGGTAACATCATTT